TTATGTTTTATATATTATTTTGATTCAAGTTTTATTCTAAGTTAGAGGTGGGACGACGAAATGTTTGTCAAAGCTTTCACACAAGTCTAAACCTATATCCAGGGGGATTCAAAAAGTGTAAGGAGCGTCGTCGTCTATTGCATAACAATCAATTTTTCATGAAATTCTTATGCATGGCATTGTTGCAATTTATTTGGATGATTTTTTAAAATCCGCGAAATTTTTTTCGTCCAAATTTAAATTGAAAAAAAGAAAAATGTGCAAATAGATAATTACTATCCAATCCTATAGATGGGTTCTAACATATTTAGACATATATTCACAAAAGATACACAATAATTGAAATAAAAAAATTTGTTTTTTCAGTTGAGCATAAAACAGTTCAGCATGTCGCCAATTAATTTCAATTACATGTTGTCCATACTTCTTTTTACTTGTTGGGCAATACAGTTTTTAATTAATCTGTTTTTAAAGGCGTTTAAATGTCCGATAAAAGTTATCTAAGAAACATTTTGCTAGAGGGTTTTGGAATTTTGAATTTTCGTAGAAATATAATTTGAGGATTTAAAATTTATGTGACGCTAATTGTGGATGTAAAATTCTCATTTAAATAAGAAATTTAATTTGACTGAAATTAAAAAATGAATATTCTACATTTCCTATAAATTTATAACAAATTGAATATCTTTCTGAGGGTTTGAAATTGATGTTTTCATAAAGTAGAAAATTACTCACAAACATCTTTTTCTTGGACTGGGTTCAAATTATCAGCTTTAACCTTTTTCTCGTTCGTGACATCTCCTCAAGTAACGTGAAACGTGAAGTGAAGAATCATTATGACCCTATATGTAACTCTGATGCAAAAATTCACACACATTAAAATATAATGCATAAGCTGTTGAGACCGGCCGACTTGCTTGATTTCTGACCTTGGGCCAATTATATGGTCATCAAACCCTTTTTAGGCTTAAAAATAAGTTTGAAAGTATTTGGCAAAATTCTGATTACTTTTTTGTCATAATGTCCATAATTTTGTTCAGCTCTGTCATGTTGCCGGGATACATTTGTTGCATAAAACGTGCTAGGTCGACTATACACTTGGTAGTCCAGACTTGACAGTACGAATGAATGCATAAACTGTACATGGTGTACCGAGTACCGACAACTTTTAGAGTGGGATGAGCCGAAAACAATTGAATTGTGTAAGAGTAAAAGCGACTGTAAGCGCAATTTTAAGTTACCCTCCATGCAAAGATGACAATGCCCGATTCACAACGATACCCTTTAAACCTTTATCTGATCAATAACGGGGAAAAAATTGTCGCGTTTTTATATTAAAAAGTGTTAATTTCTGTTAATTCATTTAAATTTCCCTGCAGTGTAAATGTGTAATTCACTCTTGTTTTGTACATGAAGGGTCACCCGTACATGTTCTTTAAGTTTAGAAGTAAACTCTCAATATTTTACAGCATTTTAAGGAATTTTTTCTTAACTCCGAATCCACTTCAAAACAAGAAGAGGATCTAAACTATAAAGGAAAAATAGAAGGAATTTGTAATAGAATATATAAAAGAAAATTATTCTCATAAATAATCTATAATCCGCTATTGAAATGCGGTGCATCCATAGATATACAAGATCGAATATAGATAGACGCAAACAAGCAAACAGGCAGAAATTCAAATTTTCTAATCCCTTTATCTTCTAAACCTGATGTTGAAAAAAACTGATGTTGAAAGGAAATGAGTTTTTGCCACAAACTCTGATTTTTTATCCCTCTATCTTTGCAAACCTTTGATATTTCCAGCAATGAATTCTGTCATTTCAAATAGTCTTAGTTAGAAATAGGAAAGCTTCACGCCATCAGGTTACGAAGAGATGAGAAAATCGAAGTTTATGGCAAAAACTCAATTCTTTTTGATTCAAACAAAATTCGTAGATTGATATACCTAATGTCTACGACATTCGGTTGCATTCGAATATTATAGATTCAATTGAAAAATCTAAATCTGAATGAGGAGGAATCTTAAGGATATTTACCTCCCTTCAATTTCGTTTATGATGATTTGAATTGCAGGACTTGAGGAGTCAGGAGTCAGGAGTCAGGAGTCAGGAGTCAGGAGTCAGGAGTCAGGAGTCAGGAGTCAGGAGTCAGGAGTCAGGATACAATCCAAAAACTTCTGTTGGACAAATAGAAAATGTATAAACGTTTTTTTCAAAATGTTTATTTGGTTTTTATTTTGATTAATCTAAGGATTTGATTGCCTAACATTAAGCTGTATATTCCAGGTTTAGAACCCAATTTCTATGTAAATATCATAATAAAAGAATAACAGTACAGTTTCGGATAGAAATGCGCAAAAGTGTTTAGATAATTTGCCAGTGTGCAGTGTACACAATACACATGATTATCTAAAAGGAATGAGACTTCAGAGACCTTAGGACGTATAGTTTTCAATCATATTGAGATGTTTTGAATTTCTTAAACGTAACCAAATAATTTTGCTCTTCCCATGACTGTGCGCGCGTAAATCAAAGTAAATGAGTTACTAAGTAGTTTTTGAACCTATCCATTTTTAAAATACCTACGAAGTTAAATTTAATATAGCATTCTATTAGAAACTATTTGTATGCAGTACTTTGTATACAGTATGAAAGTATCTTTTTTAATAAATTTGTAGAAAATTTCTAGCTAAACGTGAAAATAAAAAAAAATCATGAAAATCTAGAAAATTTGTTTATTTATTAGTTTTTTTAATTGATCATTGTATTTACTTTTAATTGATTGTCGTATTCAGAACAATTTTAAAGCTATTCTTAGCAAGATTTTATCTTTTTAGAAAAATATTTTAGCTGTTCAGTCCGAGATTTCAGCTGTTCAGAACAAGATTTCAGCTGTTTAGACACTGATTTGAGCTNGAGAAAGGGGGGGTCCAAAAATCGTATACTAGGAAATTACCGAACAAGATCTCAGCTGTTTAGAACATTTGATTTAATCTATTCACAGAAAAGATTTCAGCTGTGCAGAACAAGATTTCAGCTGTTCAGAACAAGATTTCATCTGTTAAGATTAATATTTCAGTCGTCATTCAGAACAAGATTTCAGTTGTTTAGAACAAGATTTTAGTTGTTCAGAACAATACTTTAGCTGTTCAGAACAAGATTTCTGCTGTTCAGATAAATATTTCAGACGTTCAGTCAGAACGAGATTGTAGCCACTCAAAACAAGTTGTTCAAAACAAGATTTTAGCTGTTCAGAACAATAATCGAGCTGCTAAGAAACAGATTTCTGCTGTTCAGAACAAGATTTCAGCTGTTGAGAAAAAAGATTTTAGCTGTCAATACATTTTGTTGTTGTTAAGAACAATATATCAGTTGTTTAGAACAAGATTTCTGCTGTTTCGACCTTGATTTTAGATGTTTGGAACTACATTTTAGCTGTGTAGAACTATATTTTAGCTGTTTAGAATAAGATTTCAACTGTTAAGAACAATATTATATAAAATCAAAACTTTCGAGCTCTTAATAGAAATTTTTTAGATATTTTCATCTTTATATGCTCTATCGTTTCAATGATTAAAATGAAAAGGTTTTCTTTGAATCCCGCAAAGGCATTAACAAGCTATCAAATAAGCTTGCAATGTTGCTTGCTTGATATTTCTTTTCTTTTAAGTAGTTTTTTCAAGTATACTAAACATTTTCAACGATCTGTTATTTACTTCAAACTCATTCAAAAAGAATTGTTATTCACTCTCCGGAAAACTTTCATTTTTTCTAATTTTTCTGAGAATAAATGATACAGGGTTACCCACAAAGTATCAGACTTGACCTGAAACTCTTTTAAGACAACGAACTAAAGATTAAACGTGTTAAAGATGGTTCTATAATTGTATTTTTTAATAATTTTTGAAATAATGAAATGAGTTTACAATTGATGTAATAAAAAGAATAAATTATGTACAGTCGTCTTGATAGTTCTGTGTCCTTTGTGGGTAACCCTGTACATTCCACTCCAACTCAGACATCTCTCTTAATAAAATGTCTTTATTTAACAAATGAATATATTTGAATAAACAAACATCTTTTTTTATAATATTAACACTACCGAAAGATCATAAAGAACAACTCTAGACTAATTCGTGTCAGCTTTAAATTAGGATTTTAATTACATTTTACTAATATATTTCCAACATACATATTTTAACAAATATGTACAATTATTTCGTGGGGGTGAAAACTAGGGTGCACAATAATGAGGTTATATGGATGAATTTGTGAAATCGGGGCCGTGCAAAAAAGTGTGTAATGGAACAGATTTATGCTACAAATATTTGAGGCATCATAAAAAAAAAATTAGAAATAAAAATAGATATTTTTGATTTAAAAAAACAGTGTACTCTTTTACAGGAATAGGGGAAACGTGTGCTTAAAGTAAAGTTTTTATAATTAGTTAGTTCCGAATTCTATTTTAAAATTTGTGCCAAGTTCCTAGAAAATATTATTAAGTAATGAAAACTAATAATAAATTTTATCACAAGATAAGAATAGATTAGCATGTTTTTCATGAAAATAGAGGGTTTAACATTCTACTCTTATCTCATAAGCTTCTTAATTATTTTAACATCGACAAATTCACAATTAATCACAACATTTCAATATTGCGCGCACAAGTGTGATTTTTAAAGGTTAAATTTGAAAATTGCACTTTTATAATTCATTTACAAGGATCCCTTGTGTTCAGAAAAGTGCACTATATAAAAGAAGTGATGGAATTTGTTTTTGCAAATTACATTCTCTGCTGGAAAATATTCCACCATTTCTCGTATATTAAAATCAACTAAAATAGGAGCACACCATTGATTTTATTAGTCTAGGATTTTACATACAGAATTAGAAAGATAACAAATGTGCTAAAATTTGCGTACATAATTGCGTCAAATCTGTCTTGAGCTGAAAACCTTGGAATTTTGGAAATCGATATCAATGCTTGATCTTCTTTGTTATCTATTTTAAAATTATTATAATTTTCAGTTTGTATCCAGGTAAGTATCTCAGATTCAGTCAGTCAGATCGACTGTGTATCCAGGTAAGTATCTAAGATGCAGCCAGTCAGATCGACTGTGTATCCAGGTAAGCATCTCAGATGCAGCCAGTCAGATCGACTGTGTAACCAGGTAAGTATCTAAGATGCAGCCAGTCAGATCGACTGTGTATCCAGGTAAGTATCTAAGATGTAGCCAGTCAGATCGACTGTGTATCCAGGTAAGTATCTAAGATGCAGCCAGTCAGATCGACTGTCGATTGTAGAAATTGTAGAAGTCGCGCAACTTAAAATTTTGCCCGCAATTTATTGAGAGAACTCTCATTGGTCGGAATCCCGTAGGAATATCCAAGAAAAAGGGAAAAAGAGAGGATTAAGCATAAATCAAAAGTGTACACACTGGATATTCAAATTAAGCGATCGGTATTAAGGGTATCCATTTCTAAAGTTTTCAGCTCTGTTTTAATACTCTTAATTGAAATCAACGGAATCCTACACTTTTGCATTGCAATGCTTTGTCGAAGTACATGGATAGTTTAATGTTACAATGAGGATTGAACTAGGGAGGATAACTTTACATGACGCAATTAGTGTACTCTTCATTAGACAATAATCCACGATAAATATCTAGACAAGACGCAATTAGTGTACTCTTTAGTAGACACTAACCCATAAACATCTTAATAGGATCTATTATTTTTAACTCTAAGCATTAATATTTTAACATTACATAAGTTGCAAGCAAGCGACAAAGATATAGATGCATGTAAATATATATTTCAGGCTGATTTTGAGCTTTTTTGTCAACGCCATGCATTAATGGTTATACCCAAGGTGGATATTTTTACTCATCTCTATAAGGATATTCTTTTATAGCCATTATTTACAATTTTATTCTTACAATTTATAACAACGACGCTAGTTTAATGGTTAATACTTGAATTCATAAAAAATTCTAAATTCTAAAGAATGTATCTCGGCGCCAATCTTTTTAAAAAAGTAAACAATTTTTTGTAACAGAAGGTTATAGAACGTTTGGCATTATTATAAATCACAACCCTTACAAAGCAATATTGATAAATACAGATTTATGTAATACTTCCTGCATAATTATTCCTATGTACAAAGTTAGAGTTTATACATTTTAATGTAGTTTTTAACTTACTTAATTCTAATTTATTAAATCTGTTGAAATGTTAATTTTAACAACGAACAATTGTTTGGATGCAAACAATCACTTGAAGTATATACTTACTCTCCATCTTTTATTGAAATCAGGGAATTTCTAAAAAATAATCCAATGAAAAAGCTACTTTTTACATGATGCCAAAAACAATATTTCAAAGATTTTGTCTTGTTTTTTCATCAATGTCTCTCGAAAATTATAAAATCGAATTTGATGATTAATTTTAAACATCAATTAATAAGTTAAAGGAGTTTGTGTTATGATCATTCTTTAGCTTTTTACATGCTCATTTACTCAATATACTCGTCATATGATCATTTACTCAATATACTCTTCATATGATCATTTACTCAATATAAACGTCATATGATCATTTACTCAATATACTCGTCATATCATCATTTACTCAATATAATTGTCATAACATCAATTACTTAATATGCTCGTCACGCAATCATTTACTTAATATACTCTTCACATGATCATTCACTCGATATACTCCCTTCACATGATCATTTACTCAATATACTCTCTCACATGATCATTTACTCAATATACTCTCTCACATGATCATTCACTCGATATACTCTATTCACATTATCTTTCAATCAATATACTCACGTCACATGATCATTCACTCAATATACTCTCTTCACATGATCATTCACTCAATATACTCTCATATGAACATTCACTCAATATACTCTCTTCACGTGATCATTTACTCAATATACTTGTCACATGATCGTTCAATCAATATACTCGTCAGTCGTCACATGATCATTCACTTAATATACTCTCTTTACTAGATCATTCACTCAATATACTCTCGTCACATGATCATTTACTCAATATACTCTCGCCATATGATAATTCACTCAATATACTGTCGTCACATGATCATTAACTCAAAATACTCTCGTCGCATGATCATTTACTCAATATACTCTCTTCACATGATCATTTACTCAAAATACTCTCGTCACATGATCATTTACTCATACCCAGTTTTCAAGAGCTGACTACATCTAAGACTAGATGCATTTGTAGTAGTGTACATCAATTATTTTTTTCTATTATTGTATCCTAGTTTGAGAGTTTTGTTTCCATACAACCATCAACATAATTCTCAGATGCTAGGATAGATGTAGAAGTGGTAGGTGACACATTAACTGATTCTGGTGACATATCAAACGGTATGCATGATCTAGAACTATGAGGTGACATTTCAACTGATTATGGATCGCTTTTATTGATCTAGAATTTTTAGCTGGCATATCAACTGCTTTGATCTGGTGACATATCATTCGCTAAAATTGATCTGCAAGTAGAGGGGGAAATTCATCAAATGATTCTGGTGACATATCAATGGCTATTGATAATCTAGAAGTAGAATCTGACACTTCAAATGAGTCTGTTGAAATACCAACTTCTTGGATTGATCTTAAAAATAAGGTGAAACATCAAATGATTCTGGTGACATACCAACTTCTGGGATTGATCTTGCAAAAGAAGGTAAAACATCAAATGATTATGGTGACATACCTACTGCTCGGATCGATCTTGAAAAAGAATCTGAAACATCTATTGATTCTGGTGACACACCAACTGTTGGGGTTGACCTTGAAAAATAAGGTGAAATATCAAATGATTCTGGTGACATGACATACCAACTTCTGGGATTGATCTTGAAAAAGAAGCTGAAACCTCAATTGATTCTGGTGACATACCAACTGTTGGGATTGATCTTGAAAAAGAAGGAAAACATCAAATGATTATGGTGACATACCAACTTCTGGGATTGATCTTGCAAAAGAAGGTAAAACATCAAATGATTCTGGTGACATACCTACTGCTCGGATCGATCTTGAAAAAGAATCTGAAACATCAATTGATTCTGGTGACACACCAACTGTTGGGGTTGACCTTGAAAAATAAGGTGAAACATCAAATAATTCTGGTGACATACCAACTGCTCGGATTGATCTTGAAAAAGAAGCTGAAACCTCAATTGATTCTGGTGACATACCGACTGTTGGGATTGATCTTGAAAAAGAAGCTGAAACATCAAATAATTCTGGTGACATACCAACTGCTCGGATTGATCTAGAAGTAGTAGATAGCATGTTAGATGCCGTAACTTGACTAGAAGTGGTAGGTGACATATCAGCTGCTGGGACCAATTTTTAAATGGCACTTATCAGCTGATTTAGACGAGATAGACAAGATCGTCGACAACCTCGTTGGAGATGGTGAGATAGATCATCCAGTACATGAGATGGAATGAGAGGAAGGTGATGGGGAACACAATCCTGCTGTATTTGTCGATATCGCTGGCCTAAACATTTGGAATTAGTCACATTTTTCCTTTGAGCAGAGTACAATAAGGAAGGTATCGTCGCTAATCTATCTTGAAAAGAGACACACTTGATTATTCAAATCAAAGGTGGCTTAAAATGACTGAAAACATAATTTCAAATAATACTTCGTCATCAACAGTTTTGTCTGATCAAGTATGATTAACATATCCATGCAAAGGTTTTGAAAAACTGATCGTTTTCATTTATGGTTTCTCTATAAAAGTGACTTGTACATTTTTCGCTTCAGAAACATTGGAAAAATAGTCAGAATTAAACACTTTTCAAGACAGAAAATCGACGTTATCTTACACATTGCTGAACAGATTAAGGTTTCCAGGGTATTGTTGTAAATGTCCCTCTGAAAATTTCACTGCAGTAATTTTTAATAAAATAGGGATAAATTTAAGATATATTAAACATTTTTTAATTATTCCTGAAAAATGTGTTTACACAAATATAAATTAGAAAAAATGCGATAAATTGATTTTTCTTCTTCTCTTTTTAAGCCTTACCTTCATTCCAAACAGACGTTCCGGGGGGGCTTGTGGAACCGCAGGGGCTGGGGGAGGGGGAACTGGGGGCATTCCTGAAAAACATTTTTAAAGTAAACTTCATATATATATATATATATATATATATATATACATGTTGATACTTCAAACTTTGATTCTTTGGGTCTTTTGACACAATTTCAAATTTTCTAATCCCTATATTTATGAAATATAAATTGTATAAACCTGTGATATTTCATAATTAGATTATTTGCTCTAAAAGAATTTAATGCTTGAAATATATAAGGTTTGCAAAGATATAATGATTGAACACTTTCAGTTCGTGGCAAAGACTCGATTCCTTTGCATTCAAATAAAAAAGTTTTTTAGAACAAATGATTTTTGTATTTTTGTAAGAATTCCTGGGAGGGCTGACATTTTATATTGAATTATTTTCGGAACCCAGCTTTACTACTTATGTATATAGATAACTGGTTAGGCCTAGGAATTTTATTATTTTAATCCAAGATTAAACCGGATATCCAACCATTCAAAAGTTTGGTCCTTGGTTACTTTAGCAGGGTAAAACTGACGAGAGATGTACAGGAAATAAATTGAATAAAATAAATAAAAATCAAGTTCCCGTACTTTGGAAGAAAATAAAACTTTCGAATGTGAGTTTATTGAGAACTTTTGGTTGAGCAAATAAATAAAAAGATTTATCAATCATTTTGAAAGATGTTTACACTCATGAGTAAGGAATAGGATTATCATTTTAAATTCTTCAAACCCATTATTCGAGTCGTTTTCGCATACATAAAATCATAAAGAAACTTTTAAAAGAAAATGCTTAAAAAAGATTTAATCGGAACTTATTTTTATATACTTGCTTGACTACAGTTAGAACTATTAAGAAATTTGTCCAGACAAAAATATGGCCACACGTAATTTTTCAATTAATACTGATTAGTTCAACTAATAAAATTTTGTCCCAGATTGAATTTGATCAAATAGGGGGTTCATTTGAATCACGTAAGCACAAGATGTATAGTTGAACGTGCCACATCTCACTAGTATTCATTAATTGTTCCAGTATAGAAATATATTGATTAAACAGTTTGCTTAACCCCTAAAAATAAACGATCTCCGATGAAGATACTTATAGAAATAATGAAAAGGATTCTGAGGTAGATAAAAACAATTATAAAATCATCAAAGAAAACTGCAGAAAAGACTCGTGGGAAAATCAAACTTAGTGGAACAAAAACAGTAATATATGGAATTCATTCAGAACAACAGAGTAATATCTAGAATTCATACAGAACAACAGAGTAATATCTAGAATTCATACAGAACAACAGAGTAATATCTAGAATTCATACAGAACAACAGAGTAATATCTAGAATTCAGACAGAATAACAAAGTAATATATAGAATCCAGACAGAATAACAAAGTAATGTATAGAATTCAGACAGAATAACAGAGAAATATCTAAAATTCAGACAGAATAACATATTGTTATGTGGAATTCAGACAGAATAACAGAGTAATATTGAGAATTTAGACAGAATAACAGATTTTCATGTAGAATTCAGAAAGATTAACAGATATTTATATAGAATTCAGACAGAATAACAGAGTAATATTTAAAGTTCAGATAGAATAACAGAATAATATTTAAAATTAAGACAAAATAAGAGAGTTATATGTAGAATTCAGACAGAATTACAGAGTGAAATCTAAAATTCAGACAAAATTACAGAGTGAAATCTATAATTCAGACAGAATTACAAAGTGAAATTTAGAATTCAGACAGAATACCAGAGTGAAGTGTAAAATTCAGACAGAATAACCAAGTGAAATTTATAATTCAGACAGAATAACAGAGTGAAGTCTAAAATTCAGACAGAATAATAGAGTACAATATAGAATTCAGGCCGAATAACAAAGTAATATGTAAAATTCAGACAGAATAACAGAGTAAAATATAAAATTCAGACAGAATAACAGGGTAATATGTAAAATTCAGACAGTATAACAGTGTAAAATATAGAATTGAGTTAGAATAACAGAGTAAAATATAGAGTTCAGACAGAATAACAGATTATTATGTAAAATTCAAACAAAATGACAGATTATTACTATTTTAAGAAAGACGACTTTGATTCCCCTTCATCTACCTGGCATTTGCCTTGAGGATTCTTGTCCCATCTCGGGTCCACCGTTTAGGGTACAGGTCATCATACAACAGCTGTGCAGCCTAACTGTAGCCTTGATAATATAATGCTATATTATTAAATTATCATACAACAGCTGTGCACCCTAACTGTAGCCTGAATAATATAATGCTATATTATTAAATTATTATACAACAGCTGTGCACCCTAACTGTAGCCTGAATAATATAATGCTATTATTAAATTATCATACAACAGCTGTGCACCCTAACTGTAGCCTTAATAATATAATGCTATATTATTAAATTATCATGCAACAGCTGTGCAGCCTAACTGTAGCCTTAATAATATAATGCTATATCATTAAATTATCATACAACAGCTGTGCAGCCTAACTGTAGCCTTAATAATATAATGCTATTATTAAATTATCATACAACAGCTGTGCATCCTAACTGTAGCCTGAATAATATAATGCTAGAATTAAATTATCATACAACAGCTGTGCACCCTAACTGTAGCCTGAATAATATAATGCTATTATTAAATTATCATAAAACAGCTGTGCACCCTAACTGTAGCCTTAATAATATAATTCTATATTATTAAATTATCATAAAACAGCTGTGCAGCCTAACTGTAGCCTGAATAATATAATGTTAGAATTAACTATCATACAACAGTTGTGCAGCCTAACTGTAGCCTGAATAATATAATGCTATTATTAAATTATCATACAACAGCTGTGCACCCTAACTGTAGCCTTGATAATATAATGCTATATTATTAAATTATCATGCAACAGCTGTGCAGCCTAACTGTAGCCTTAATAATGTAATGTTAGAATTAAATTATCATACAACAGCTGTGCACCCTAACTGTAGCCTTAATAATATAATGCTATATTATTAAATTATCTTACAACAGCTGTGCACCCTAACTGTAGCCTGAATAATATGATGCTAGAATTAGACTATCATACTGCAACAGCTGTGCAGTCTAAATTTAGCCTTGAGAATATAATGTTAGAATTAACTATCACACAACAGCAGTGCAGTCAAACTGTAGCCTAGATAATATAATATTAGAATTAACTAACTAATTATGAGTTCACTTGCCAATTTTTAAAACGGTAACTAAAATAACGCCAATTAAACGATAGAACGCATATTAAATTAATCAATATCTGTAAAAACAACAACTTAATGTTAGAACACCAACTAAATTTTAGAAAGCGAACTTGATGGTAAAACGCTTTTTTACTTTATATTAAAACGCTTACTAAATGTTAAAACGCTACGTAATGTTAAAACCCTAACTAAATAATCAGAGAGCCAACGAAATGTACACTATTTGATATTTTTACGATAAAAATATTTACATGTTCGCTTTGTGCACTCGTTTGTAATAAAAAGGTTAAAAAGAAAATTTTTTTGTTTCATACTTTCAAATTTATTTAAATTAATACACAATTAACTTTTAGTTTTATCTTTGAAATTTATCAATATGGGTGTAAAATCCTTGCCTAGAAACACTTCGACTCTTCCAAAATCTAGATTAATTTTTTTCATCAAAATATCAAAAACTAACAAATAGGCAATATTCAGTTGTTTGAGGCACTTCTTTAGAACTGCCAGGTTATATATCATGCTTCAATCATATTGAAAAATCAAATTAAAGATCTATGATTTTCAAACTTTTATGTGTGCATACTCAACCAATAGAAAAAGTCGTAATATTTTATGCTTAAATGAACAATTTTTTATGACATTTTTTGTACAAAACTTCATATTGTCCCATCAGGGTTATTAGATTGTAAATACAAGTGTCCATATTTCCAATTGCAATGATAGCTATATTTAATATTCCATTTTTTCTTCTTCTAGAATGCAGAAATCAGTATTCTTGACAATTTAAGTTTGAAAATGTTTTTTACGTCTATCTAAAAACTGTATAAAGATTGCATCGAGAATGCACATCATTTGTCAAAACTAAAATGCATCAACTTTGTCAATAACTCAGAAATGTTGAAAACTTTCAAATTTGTAAAAATTGGATCTAATTCATTCCCGTTTTCATTTTTATGTGCAGACTTTTTTATGCTCTAATTGACTATGAAAAGAGTTGAGTCTTTGACATAAACTCTGATTTAATAATCCCTATATCTTTTCAACCTGATGGTGCATGCCTTTGACATTTCAACTTGTATTATTTGATATAGTTCCAACATTGGGTTGCAAGGATAAGAAACTCAGGGTTTGTGGCAAAGACTCAATCCCTTTGCTGATTTTGATTCACAAAATAAAAAAAATGTGAGCGTAAAATTTAAATTTAAAAAAAATCTTTAACTTGTTCTCCTCTTGAACATTTTAAGATAAGAGAGGGGAAAGGAGGGAGAGAACATCTTATAGTGTGCTCACTTCTTTTGTAAAGATAGGAAGGGAGGGGGGGGGGGGGGAGGGAAAGGGGGCCCCCTTTTTTTTGTGAGATAAAATAAAATGAGCTGGTAGATTGTAGGAAGGATTTATTCCCTAGTAAAACTCCAACTATAGAACACAAGTGAAATAATCTTGGTCAGCAATTTAAACTTTTTACATAAACCCTTGTAAACCCTCTCTCTGCACTATAGGCACACTTTGATATAGTTTCTTATACTGTTAGAGAGAAAATCTAACATTTTGTTAATTACCCCTGTTATTATAATATAACATAATAAAACATACAATTCATTATAAACTGTGCTGATTTGTCCACCCTCCCCCC